AACTTATCTTATTTACCAGGATGTCCCCCTCAAGACAAAACAAGTTATCATATCAGTTTTTTGTGTTAACTTCCAAATTTACAGGCTGATAAACATCTAGGCCTTTGTTAGTTAAAGTATGTCCCTTGAGAATTGGAGGACCACCAGGGAAATTGTATAAAATACTCTATCTGCTGGATGCGGTGGCTCATGCCTGTAATCTCAGCACTTTGGGAGGCAGAGGCGAGAGGATTGCCTAAGCCCAGGGGTTTAGGACCAGCCTGAGCAACTTGGTGAGACCTCTTCTCTACAATAAATTAAAAAATTAGCCAGGCATGGTGGCATGCGCCCATAGTCCCAGCTACTTGGAAAGCTGAGGCGGAAGGATCAGCTGAGCCCAGCAGGTTGAGGCTGTGGTGACCATAGCATGCCATTACACTCCAGCCTGGACGACAAAGTGAGATTCCAACTCAAAAAAAAAAATTTTTTTTTTAATAAAATAAAATACTCTATCGTCAAAGTAAAGAAAACAGCTATCATTTAGGATTCTTTCCAAGCAAGGGATAAATTATTAGATTACACTTATTATGCATTTTGCTTGTTTATTTATTTTTAATTGTCTGTCTTACCTATTAGAATGTAAGCTCCAGAAACAAAGGTTTTTGTGGGTGCCTAACCCACAGAAGTTACTAAAAGAAAAGTGTAACTGAATGAAGGAGTTGCCAAATTTGGTTTTTAAAATGCTACCATATGGCTATTGCTAGCAGACAAGGGTGTTGTCTTGCTTTCTTTTTAAATCTCCTGAGGAGTATGCTGCCTTGTGTAAAGTAGGCGCCAATGTTCAGTGGCTGTCCTGAACTTAATTATCACCGAAAAACATTGCAAAATCTCGGTTTATAGTCGGATGCATATTTTCAAACAGTCTGGGTATGGACAAAAGCCTAAGAGTGTGTGAAGTTGAGTCAAGGGAAGCGTTTTGAGTTTAACCTTTGACTTGCTGATTTTAGAATGACCACTCATTTTTGTTGTTTGTTCTGGAAATCCTATTCTTGTTCACCTTTGGATGGAGAGCAGTCACTGTGAGTTCCATTCATAGTATTCTGCTAAACATGGGAGAGAAGTTTAAAGGATTGTCCAGATGTGATTTTGTTTCCCTCTGACTTGTCCTGAAGTTTCTGTGTCTGAGCAGTCCAAACATGGAATATGTCCCAGGGCAGGGATTAAAGGGTCAGAACAGAGAACATGAAATGATTACAACACATTTCAACCAGATGAAGAAATGCAAGTAAAGCATACATTTTTGCCTCTTTTATCTCTAATTGAATGGCCATGAGAAGGCCAGGCACTTTGGGAGGCTAAGGTGAGAGGATCGCTTGAGCCCAGGAGTTCAAGACCAGCCTGGACAACATAGCGAGACCTTGTCTCTACAAAAAGTGTAGCCAGGTGTGATGGCACACACCTGTAGTCCTAGCTACTCAAAAGGCTAAGGTGGAAGGATTGCCTGAGCCCAGGAGGTCGAGGCTGTGGTGTGCTGTGATCATGCCACTGCACTCCAGCTTGAGTGACAGAGTGAGACCATAATTCAAAAAAAAAAAATAGAAAAAATAAAGAAAGAAAAAGAAAGGCTAGTGAAAAACCTCATAGAGATACAAGTACACCAATAAACAGAGTTTTGTGATGTAATCAGACCTTTAAAAATCAAGGAAAAGCTGGTTGTGGTGGTGCATGTCTGTAGTCCCAGCTACTTAAAAGGCTGAGGCAGAAGAATCACTTGAGCCTGGGAGGGTGAGACCAGACTGGACAACATTGTGAGACCACCCCGCCCCCATCTCTACAAGAGTTAATAAAAATTAAAACAATTTTTTAAATTAAAAAAATAAAAGAGAGTCGACTTGAAGCATTAGGGAGAAGATGTTTGGTGCAGTGGTTAGAAGCCCAGGATTGGATAGAGTCAGGTGACTGGATTTCTGGCCAGCTCTACCACTTCCCTAGCTGTGAAGTCTGGACAAATTACTTCATATCACTAGGTCTCCATTTTCTCATATGGAAGTGCCTATTTTATCAGATGGTTATGCAGATACAATGAGATAATACGTGTGTTTAGCCTAGCACTTAACGTATTATAGGAGCTCTATAACTGTAAATCATTAAGATTATTATTTGTAAGTATTAAAAAAAAAACATAGACAATTTAGTTGCAAACAAATACCCAGACATGATTACAGTCATGCATGCCAAGGAAAAAGGCCCGTAGTAGGCCACGTCAGAGAGTTTTTAGAGGAAAAGAGAATGGTGAAAATACCACTGTTAAATAAAAAATGAACATAATGCCTAGCTAAAAACCCCTGAACTCTTTTCTGATTATTAACTAAGACTCAATTGGGCAAATGAATAACTGATTTCTTAGGCCAAATTTTCATCTCACTAAAATTCAGCAGAAATTTACATAAATCTATGCTGTTGTCAGGTGAAGGTGATGGGTTTTTATCACACAGAAAAGTCTGTCCCAGATCAGACTGGAACAATGTTTCTCATACAGGAGAGAGGTGCACTAGAACATTACACATCCTCTCATCATTCCCTTGCAATTTTTCTCTAAAATAGAGGGTGATGATGAGTCACTTAGCATCCTAAAATGGTAGTGAGACCTCCCTCAAAAAGTAGACTAAGTTGACATGATTAGGTCATATGGCATGGCAAAAGAATCCCCGAACCCTGGACCCAGCTGCTCCTTGTACCTGGGCAGGACAGATGATGAAATCCCATTGGTAATAAATGATTTAATGTCATCACAGAATGGAAACAGTCTTTGAGCCAAGCAGACTTGTAGCCTAATCCCGGTTTGGTCAAGTTACTTAATCTGTTAGTTCACTTTACTTATCTGAAAATAGGGATGACATCCATCTCATGCGGTTATTGTGTGGATAAGGTAAGACACAGCATATCAAGTACCTACTACAGTGCTGATACATAATATAAACGCAAATCAATGTTAATTTCCCCTTATTTCTATTCCTTACTCCTCTCTCTCTCTGCCCACCACAGTCAAGAATCTGCCACTTTTGATTTCAAATCCTACTCTTGAAGCCTCCAAGCTAGTTGTCTCCCCACCACCACCATTTGCTACATATATTAGGAATTAACGATAAAGAACCCAAATTAGCAATAATGAGCCTCTCCCATCGGCTCCAAATGGCTACACTTACCTGGACAACCTAAAGCCCCATGTTGAGGGGGTTACCTTCCGGTGGTCCCAACGCGTCTAGTCTTTGGGCACCAGAACAATGTGGGATTTCTGATGTGGCTGGGACCCTTTCCCTTACCTCTGGGCCACGCTTCATCACCTGGGCTTGTGTCCACAGTGGGAAGGGTTGCAGTCGCTCTTGGCATGTATCCTGCATCTCCAAGCACAGGACACACCTGCTCCTTGGGAGTGGGTGAGAGAGATGTTATGCTATCTCTTTCATCCCCCTCAGTTTCTTTTCCCGATCCCAACCACAGACTGAAAAACCCCAATCATTAGAATAGAGGCAGACATGGTGGTGTGTGTCTGCAGGGAGCATGCAGGAGGGATGTGTTGGAAGCATTCAGGCCACCATGCTCAGTTACAGAATAAACCTTTATTAAATATTTACTCTGAGTTCTAATGCTGTCTCAAAAGAGGGAACGAATACAGACTCAAGCCCTAGTACCCCTCACAGCCAGTTGAAAGGAGGAAACTGCTCATTGAGACCATGTAGTACTGGACACCCAAGGACCCTAGAACAGAAGGCAACGGTGTCCGAGAGGCTGAAGAAATGACCTGGAGATGACAGACGGGACATGGAGTTTATTCAGGAGCTTACTTGTAGGGAAGGTGGTCCAGGAGTGGCTGGCTGGCCAGAAAAAAACCACTCCTATGGTAACAGGCACACAAGTTCCACAACATCTTACACAGGGCGGAGTGTGGGTCAAGCGTGAGTAGGGTGACCTTTCTAGTGAGCAGGCATTGTGTGAGAACATGCTTCTTCACATGTCACATGGACACAAGATAGCTGTGAATTCCCTCTAGGGGTGGGAGTTTTAGTATTATAATGAATAAAAGGTGAACAAAAGGTCATGGCCTTTGATCCAGGCGGGCTGATCTGGCCTGAACCAGCTGGATGGGGGCCAACTGCCTCACAAAAGTATGTGCAAGAACACTTGGTTGGCACAGCTGCAGGTCACGGGCAGCAGGCGTAGAGGACACTTTGCCCACGGCCTCAACATGACCTGAGTGCCTGGGCACAGACCCTCAGGGGAAAGGAATATCCCAGGTTGGCCACCCCCAGGAACCCCCAGGATCCCTTACCAGGTCCCAAGCCCCAACTTGGGGCCGTCTCCAGGGTGTGCTCTCACTTCCACCGAGTGTGCCACCCTACACACCGGAAAGTCTACAACTCAGTCTCTGTCTCATTCTCTAGATCAGGCATGTCCAACCCATGGCCCATGGCCACATGCAGCCCAGGATTGCTAGTCATACTTGCCCCACAGAATCTTTTAAAATCACGTGTTGAGCCGGGCTCGGTGGCTCAGCCTGTAATCTCGCACCTTTGGGAGGCTGAGGTGAGTGGATTGCCTGAGCCCGCGGGTTCGAGACCCGCCTGGGCAGCGAGACCTCATCTCTACAATAAATCAAAAAATCAGCCGGGCGTGGTAGCGCATGTCTGTAATTCCGGCTACTCGGAAGGCTGAGGCGGAAGGATCGCCGGAGCCCAGCAGGCGAGGCTGTGGTGGCCGGGAGCGGCCACTGCATTCCAGTCTGGGCGACAGAGTGAGACTCCAATTCAAAAATAAAAATAAAAAAAATAAAAATAAAATCACGTGTTGGTTGTCACTGTTGCTGCCGCCATACGTGCTCGCCCTGCTTAGCTCTTCTATCAGAAAGCAGTATCTTTTCTTTTGCTGTTCATCAAACCCTCACTCTTCCCCCTTGTTTGCACCTATTCTGGGAGAACCCCTCCAGGACCCCCTTACCTTTTCCCCCCCTGGTCGGCCCAGTTATGGCAGAGAACGACGTGGACAATGAGCTTTTGGACTATGAAGACGATGAGGTGGAAACAGCAGCTGGGGGAGACGGGGCTGAGGCCCCTGCCAAGAAGAAGTCAAGGGCTCGTATGTCTCTATCCACAGCTCTGGCTTTCGTGACTTCCTGCTCAAGCCAGAGTTGCTCCGGGCCATTGTTGACCGTGGCTTTAAGCATCCGTCAGAAGTCCAGCATGAGTGCATCCCTCAGACCATTCTGGGGATGGATGTCCTATGTCAGGCCAAGTCAGGCATGGGAAAAACAGCAGGATTTGTGCTGGCCACATTGCAACAGCTGGAGCCAGTTACTGGGCAGGTGTCTGTGCTGGTGATGTGTCATACTCAGGAGTTGGCTTTTCAGTACAGCAAGGAATATGAGCACTTCTCTAAATATATGCCCAATGTGAAGGTTGCTGTGTTTTTTGGTGGTCTGTCTATCAAGAAAGATGAAGAGGTGCTGAAGAAGAACTGCCTGCATATCGTTGTGGGGACTCCTGGCTGGACCCTAGCCCTGGCTTGAAATAAGAGCCTCAACCTCAAATACATTAAACACTTTATTTTGGATGAATGTGATAAGATGCTTGAACAGCTCGACATGCGTCGGGACGTCCAGGAAATTTTTCGCATGACCCCCCACGAGAAGCAGGTCATGATGCTTAGTGCTACCTTGAGCAAAGAGATCCGTCCAGTCTGCCGCAAGTTCATGCAAGATCCATTGGAGATCATGGATGCTGCATGGGTTACAGCAGTACTACGTGAAACTGAAGGACAACGAGAAGAACCGGGAGCTCTTTGACCTTCTGGATATCCTTGAGTTCAACCAGGTGGTGATTTTTGTGAAGTCTGTGCAGCGGTGCATTGCCCTGGCCCAGCTTCTGGTGGAGCAGAACTTCCCAGCCATTGCCATCCACCATGGAATGCCCCAGGAGGAGAGGTTTTCCCGGTATCAGCAGTTTAAAGATTTCCAACAACGAATTCTTGTGGCTACCAACCTATTTGGCCAAGGCATGGACATTGAACAGGTGAACATTGCCTTTAACTATGACATGCCTGAGGATTCTGACACATACCTGCATCAGGTGGCCAGAGCAGGCCGGTTTGGTACCAAGGGCTTGGCCATCACATTTGTGTCAGATGAGAATGACGCCAAGATCCTCAGTGAAGTGCAGGATCGCTTTGAGGTCAATATTAGTGAGCTGCCTGATGAGATAGACATCTCCTCCTACATTGAACAGTCACGGTAGAGGACTCATCTATTCTGGAATGTGATGGTCTGTCCTTCAAGAGAGGATACCCAGTGTGGGGGTGAAGGAGACACTACTGCCACCTCCCCTGACAGCACCCACCCCCTACCCCAAGGCTTCCTTCTGTTGCATCACCACCACTCCTAAATCCCCATTCCCAATTGTCAAGTTTTTTTTAACAAAACTAAAAATGAAACACAAAAAATAAAAAATAAAATAAAATCACATGTTTTTTAGCATTTATCTTCCTCCTGACCCCATGTCAATTCCATTTTTGAGGTTCACAGTCACGCCTTATTCGTGACATCACTTTTTGGTAGCACATACATCTGTGAGCAGCTGTTTTCAATCATGAAGCACAAGGAGAGCAAAATTCAAACATTTCTGATGAGCACCTTGAGAACTCATTGAGAATTGCAACCCCTTCCATTGAACCAGACATGGACAGAATCATTTTACAAAAACAAGGTCAAGTTTCCCACTAGTTTTATATTGCTCTCATCTTTCTGAACTTCATAATAAAAAAAATTTTAAAGAAATCTTATTATGTATATATATATTATATAATTTATGTGTGGTCCAGGACAATTCCTCTTTACTTGATGCAATCCAGGGAAGCCACAAGCTTGGACACCCTGCTCTAGACCCTTGCCCATAATGGAATCTCAATAATTCCTACAAGAACACATTAGTGAAAGGTTCTCTTTTGCCAGTCTAATATGTACGTGAAAGATGTGATTCTTACATTTATGAGGAAGTGTCAGGGCAATGTATATTGTCAAAATTAGAGATTGACCTCCCGTTACTAAAATGAGACTAAGTAAAGAGAAACAAAATGGTTCCCATATGAACAGCAGGCTGAGGATTGGGATTGCAGGTCTGGCTGAGCGTGAAGAGTCATAAATTGCTTGGAAATCCAGAGACCCTCACTGCAGCCACAGACCATAGCATCCTGGGCTGAGCTTGCAGGGGTTTTACTCTGAGCTCAAATAGGCATGTGTTTATAACTCTTGATCTGGCCCTCACTAAGCATAAATCCAGCAAAGGTATTCATCTTCAAGTCCCAAATTTCAAAATCAGTGCAGACCAATCAAATAAGTTTCAGATAAAAATGAGACGCATTAAATGTTGGAAAAATAAGTCTCATGAGAAAATACAGCTAAGATGGCCTGTGTTAGATTTGGAAGAAAAGAGACTAAGGTGGTAGTGGGGAGGAATAAGTCTTTGTGTATAAATTTATGTTGCAAGAAGGACACAAATGATTTATTCTCTCCATACCCAGTGGATAGTTAAAATAACAAAGGCTCGGTGCCCACATTTCTCCATGAGCACTGATGCATCTGTAAAATGGGCAGTGAGGAAGATTGCTGGCATGATGCACTTCACCTTGGGCCAAGGCTGGCCTTTAGTCAATGTAGTACTCAAAGGCCATGGTCTTTCCTCACTAGCACACGCCAAAAACTACCCCCACAGAAATCTTGGAGGATGAAGCAATATCCCATCCTATCACGTAGGAGTCAAAATATTGTATTCCAGGGAAAAAGCTATATGGTGGGGTGAGGGCTGTGTGCTGTGACCACCAATGTGGGGTCTCCTGTGCGTGTGAATTGATAAGATCCTGGGGTGCTGGGATAAGTAGGGATCTCTGTCTTCTAGGAACTGTCTACAAGCTAATTTGATTTGTGCTTCCCAGATATAGGCGTGGAAACCCATGGAAGTTGTACCAAGGAGCAAAGAGGGGATTCTTACAGAATGCAGGGCAATGCGGTTTTCTTCTAGTCACTTGAACAGTTTCCACCCATTCCAAGGACAAAACCGTGGCTTTGCTCAAGCACCACAGGCTAGCCCTGCAGACCCTGACCTCCACCCTTGCTCTAAGCAGATGTGCTCTGCCCTGTGTCTCCTTCCTCTGTCCTGTCACCTCACACCTCACTTGCAAGCCTCTTCTGATCAATATTCCTTGTGTGGTGTCTGCTTGACCCTCATTTCCGACCTTGCCTCCGTGCTTTTTTTTGGAACTTCCTTGGTTCCACACCAGCCCAGGTTCCCAAATCCCATAGGCTCCAGCACCTCTCCATCCAGGAAAGCAATGTGGGTCTTGACCACGCTCCCTCCCAAGTTTGCTCTGTTGATGAAGGATCTAGAAGGGCTACGGATCAAATGTGTAAGGGTTTGGTCAAGATCCAGAATCTCCAACCCTTTCACCTGCCACTGGGTAAGATCATGAGGAAAGATAAAAGTCTCTTCCTCCACCCAGGAAAAAGCACTTTCTCTGCTTCTATGAGTTGTGGGACACAATACACCTCCAGGGTTAGGCAGGAGATGGAGATGGCAATGGGGCAGGAAGAGGAATCACAGGAACCACAGGAACCACAAAAACTGAAGGGCATGATGGCCATAGGAGTCTGCTAGGGCAGCCATGACAAAGCTCCACACATCAGGTGGCTTAAGCTTCCTCATGGTTGTTGAGACCATCTTCAAGGACGTCTGAGATCAAGACAGACTTGACAGAGTTGGCTTATTCTGAGGCCTGTCTCTTGTCTCCTGTCCATACAGATGACTATCTTCTTCCAGTGTCTCCACATGGTCTTCCCTCTGTGTCTGTCTGTCCTAGTCTCCTCTTCATATAAGGACACCAGTCATATTAGATTAGAGCCCACCTTCATGCCCTCATTTTAACTTGATTACCTCTTTAAAGGCCCTGTCTCTGACAACAGTCGCATTCTGAAATACTAAGGGTTAGAGCTTTGATGTGTAAATTTCAGGAGACCCAATTCAGCCCATAACCCCCCTCAAGGAGAAGCCATTGCTTGATTTCTGGCAATGTCACTTGAGAATATAGACCCGATTTTGCAGTATAATTCAGTTCTCAGGAGAAAGCAGAAATCTGGAATTTCAATTTTTTTTTTTTTTGAGTTGGCGTCTCACTCGTCACCCAGACTGGCGTGCAGTGGCCGCTCCCGGCCACCGCAGCCTCGACCTGCTGGGCTCCGGAGATCCTTCCGCCTCAGTCTTCCAAGTAGCTGGAACTACAGGTGCGCGCTACCACGTCTGGCTAATTTTTTGATTTATTGTAGAGATGAGGCCTCACCAAATTGCCCGGGCGGGTCGTGAACCCACGGGCTCAGGCAATCCACTCGCCTCAGCCTCCCAAGGTGCGGAATTACAGGCTGAGCCACCAAGCCCGGCTTGGAATTTCAATTTTTAAACATGGGCGGCTAATTTTTATTTTTTTAATATCATGTGGTTGTAGGTGCCCCAAGCAGCCAATTTGTGATCTCTTCAATTAGGCACATGCTCCCTCTGGAACCCCATGGCCAAGGTTGACCATTGGGGATTCTTAAGATGAGGCAGCCCAAGCAAAGGATACTGAGGCAGACTGGCCAGTGTCCTGGGCCCTTCTCCAGTGACACACTGACCTTAGCCCTGTAATAGTGAGAAGGGCCCAGCCCATTAAATACCAACCTCATGAGAGGACAGCTAAGAAAAGAGCACATTTTTCCCTAAGGCCTTGTCCCTAAGACTGGACATCCTGCCCTAGGCCACCAAATGACCCGGCTTGGCCTTTCCAGGAGAATAGATGACCCAGGTGACAAGTAGCCCAAAGAGAATAGGGGAGACGGAATAAACCATGATGTGACAGTCAAAGTTGTATCCTTGTAAACATTTAAAAAATTTTTACCTTTTATACCATGAGCTCCATCCTCTAGCACCAGTGCTAAATAATGTTAGTGACTCACATCAGCACTATCCATCCTCAGAGACAGAGGGACGGAGTAGGGATTTTCTTGGTGAGAGGCACAGGGAAGGCATGGGAGAGCTTAGGGAGTTCAATTATGAGTGAACTTCAGAAAAACACTCAGAATCAATCTTGCCTGGCTCTGTCCCTAAGATAAGCCCGTAAGTGGCACAAGCAAAAACCTAGTGTGTTTCAGGAAAGATCTATGACTTCTCTAAGCCTGTTTTACACACCCAAGTAAAGAAGCAGTTTCTGTTGCCGGATGTGGTGAGACATAAGTTCATGGATTCTTTGACTCAACACCAAAATGATTTTCAGAGCGACCAGCAAAATTTTAAAACAGTTTATTAGCAAGAAGAAGAGAGGGAAAGAGGGAGATTCATGCCAGAAAGACCTGGCATAGGCAAGTCTCTCAAAAAGAAAAACTGCATTTTGGCTCTTAACTAAAAGCTAGATATATGTTCACAATAATTGGTACACTAAAGAGGGTGGAACCCAGGTAACCACCACAGAGGTTGTCATATCTCTCCGCCTCTGATGCAGAGAGAGGCGGTCTTTTCCAGAACATGCATTTTGTCTTTGTAAGAAACATACCAGACTTTTGAATATACAAGTTCATGAGCTAAAAGGTGGTCTTCTTATTATTTCTGTGGCTTTGGTTATTTAAGGGGTAGTATTCAGCCTTCCACCTTCAACAAGGAGTCTGAAAGATTTTTAGTGATTATTATGCTAAACCATGATCTGAAAGGTCAGGCTGCCCTATTCTTATATCTGATGAGATTTCTTTTGATTGACCAAGAAAGTAGGGTGGACTGGTGGTTCCACATTCCAGTTTGGCCTGCAGTATAAATGTAATAAGAAAAATGTCTGAACGCTTCCTAAAACCTGCTTATAAGAAGTTTATCTCCTATGCCTAACCTGTACTAGATACCCTGCCTCACTTCTGCAGTATGGTAATGGAGGTAGAAGGATTGTGGGTTCTGGTTTCTTATTTGATGCATAACAGGTATAACTGTGCCAGTTTCTGTAGACACCTGGTCAGTAAAGTCCAGCAGGCCTGCAGGATGTCTGGTAGGGGCAGGAGCCAAGAAGAATGATAGGCAGGTTATATCTGTAAAGTTGTTATAGAACTGAACTGGGGTCCGTTCCCCCGTTGCAATAAAACCAGTTATCTGCACCAAGGTTTTGAAGGGACAGAAAGAAAAGCGTTTATTTGCAGAGAGCCAAGTCAGCTAAATGCTCAAATTCTGACTTCTCTGATGGCTTGCAGGCGAGGATTTTTAAAAACAGGGGTAAACTTCAGGAAAGCAGAAGCTTCCGGTAAAATTGTAAATCAATACACATTGGTTTAAGCCTTAAAAGGTGGGATATCTTAAAGCAGGGGCTTACAAGCCACAGGTAGACTCAAGAATTTCTGATTTGCAATTAGTTAAGGAAGAGAAGCTATGTTTAAAAATT